AAAAGTTTCTATGGAAGAATTCAATTATGTATTGCCTATTTGGTGCACATTTAATTTGAAATCGGATAAAGATATATATGGGAGCTATATTCAAATCTGAACCGATCTCAATAAAATTTGGCAAAGATACATCTGAGCGGCATTTGATATATTTCCCTGAATGTCGTTGTTACGGAGTGCATATTATGGCTGTGGGTAACAAATATAACAAATCGGATGTATATTAGACGTTTGATGCACAATAAAAAGTAAATCGGACGAAGTTATATATGGGATCTATATCGAAATCTGAACCGATCTCGATAAAGTTTAGCAAAGGTATTTCTGAGCTGTGTTTGATATATTTCCCAAAATATTGTTGTTACAGAGTGCATATTACGGCTGCAGAGGACAAAAATAACAAATCGGATGAAAATATATATGGGAGCTATATCTGAACCGATTTCGAACAAATTCGGTATACTTATTTACGGGCCTAAATTGTTGTATGTGCAAAATTCCATACTATCCTGCTGATATTACACGTTTGGTGAATAATAAAAGGCAAATCGGACGAAGATATATATGGGAGCTATATCAAAATTTTTACCGATTATCTCCGTCCTTGGGTCAAACAAATGATTTGTCATCTGGATAGGGCAATAAATGTGAACTGTTCTTTGTTTACAAAAATATATGGACAGACGGACGGACATGCATAAATCGACTTAGAATGTGATTCTATGCAGATCATCAAAGGAATGCACAAAGATATAATACCCTGACACCCTTGTGGTGTAGGTTATTAAAATTTATGTAATATAAAACATTACGATTGTACATTTCAAACGTCAAAATGAAAACTTATGAAAACTTATATTTCCTTGTACATGATATATTAAATTTTGTATCTATTTAAATACCTACTTTATTCCACTATTATCTCGCAAAGTTTTCAAGTGCTTACCCTTTTGATTTGTAACTATTCTCTAAAATCTCTCTTCGCTTCAACGATAATTGAGCAGCAATTTGAAGTGCTGTTCTTTTTATAAATCGTTTTTTTTTTTCTTAAAAAACGCCCGCATTAACATTAGTCAACCACAATATTGAACATATTCCATCTAATTGCCTGAAAAGGACATACTTAGATTGCTTCATTTCAAAAAAGAGAACACAAAAACCAAAAAGTTTGATTATCCACAAGATAAAGTTTTACTTGTCTCAAAGTTATTCGAAAATCATTGAATGGTCAGGCGGTCGGAGAACATGAGCTGCGTGTGTCTGTTTCGGTTTCTTTAAATGTGACACATTGTATCGTCTTGTTATGGAAAAGTTTCACAATATCATCATTTCAGTAGTGAAGCTGAAGAAGAGAAAGGAACAAAAAACAAAAACAAACTAAACAGCTTGCAGAAGGTCATTCAAATAAACCCACTCATTCTAAATGGAGGAAAATGTCGTTCTCTGTTTTTTCTTCATTTTCTTCTGCAATGCAAAAACTATAAAAAAAAGAAAATGTTAGCGAAAATTTATGATGAATTGGGCAAAATAGGCTTAGAAAATGTCATAGTAAATTAGAAATAGTGAGTTGAAACGTAGCGTGTCATTGTAATTTCTTTGGCCACGTACAGGGTTGCCCATATTCGACGGACCTTTGGGCCCATTTCAAGCGACGAGGCTTGTCCACAGGCGACATTCTTTGCATCAATTGAATTTTGTACGGGAACAAATGCAAATCAATGCGAATAATCCGTTGTAAAGTGGACCGAGCCATGCCCAACTGCTGAGAATAACGTTTTTGGGATGTTCTTGGGGACCTCTCAAAACTGGCTCGTACGGCAGCGATATTCTCGGCCGATCGCCTTGGTCGACTTTTATATGGCCTCTTCGGATTAGAAAGAGCCTTACCAGTCGAAAATTTTTCTTATAAACGGTTAATGGTGTTCTTAGAAGGCGCACTTCTCACATTTTTTAATGTTTTAAAAGCACGTTGAGTTTTCACAATTGACTTCTTGTAAATTTCAACTATTTCAGAGCGCTCGCGTGGCGTGTATTGGTTCATGGTAAAAATCTGCTTGGACTGACGCTTCAAACGCGGTATGTCATTAAGCAATGTGACATCTCTGTCAAAAGTTATGGCGTAGCCAGATGGGTCCGTCGAATATGGGCAACCCTGTATTTCTTTTGGCTGATTTGGCTGGAAAACAACAAGTGGCTATCCTTAGAGCACTCTAGCATTTAAATGTGAATAAATCTTTTGTGTCTGGTACTATCGCTCGTTACCGAGATACTGGTAGCGTAGCCCGACGGACGGAAGAAAGTGGACGGAAGAAAACAGCAACTTGATCGAAACCCGACTCGCAGTGGCCGAAAATGGCTCGTGAGCTGAACATATCGCAATATTACATTTGACAAATATTGAAAAATGAGCTCGTGGTAGAGCCATTGAAATTCCAAAGAGTGCAAAAACTTACACCCCAGCAGAAAGAAAATAGACTCAAAAGAGCTAAAGAGTTGCCTCGCTTGGCCGAAAGTAGTGAAATGCCGAATTTTGTTTTCTCCGATGAGAAAACAAACCAAAATATCCGGATACCAATACGCTGAACTATAGTGTCTGGAGTATTTTGGAAAGCAAGGTTAGCACTAAACAAGTAAGCAAAGGCTACAGTCGAGCGGGGCCGACCGTTGAATACCCTACAACACTATAATAAACGATACAGTTTATATAGGCAAACAATTCCACAAGATATTGTGACAAATAATAAAAGAAAACCGTCAGGTTTCGTTCTCTAATTTTCGAATAATAGCAAATTAAACTAATTTGCTCATTTCCAATTTATTGGAAGATGTTGCACGTAAATGGTCCTCCTAGATCTGGAACCAATATTTCCCAAAGACATATATTTCCCAAATATATAATCTCTCAGAAGTGGCAAAAGATTAACATTTAGTATTGGTTTTTGACTGAAACGCATCTATATGAGATACAGACATTTGACTATATTCTTCAACGAAATCAGCGTTAACGAAATAGTCAGAAGTGCGTCTTTCCTGTATTTGTGAATTCTCCAAAAAGTCACTGGAATGGACATTTTCGTATTTTGTCTACAAAAGTTGGCAAACTATTTCACACATTGAATATTTTTGGATGGCCATCCAAAACTGCTTGGCTTTTGCAATATCCGGTAACCCCCATTCAAATGTGCCTGAGGAACGGGCGATAATTACGACCTGCTGACAATTTTGCAGTTTTTTGGTCAATTTCAACCCTAAATATATGACGATCATCTCCAAAAAGAGTAGGCTTCTATTCTGACCCTCATCTTATCCCCATGAAAAATTTCGTAAGGATCGGGTCATAAATGCGATCTGTATATGATATCCTGATATCCTAACTACTTAGTTTTGTTAGCTGTAGAAATGTTTAATTCAAAATGAAAATATGCCAAAAATATGACAAAATTGAAAAAATATGAGAAAATTTTACAAAATCAATATTTTCATCTTTAGAGAGATAATTTTATGCGATTTTTTAGACGTTTTTTCTTTCCTGCCAAGAGGCCATTCTGAATTAATGAGAACTGTCGAAATCAGTTCAGCCGTTCTCGACATATAAGAGATTTTTCAAGCATATCTTCTTTGATAAACATATATATCGCACATATTTTGCTATATATCCGTTTTGTTGGATGTTAAAATCAATGTAAAGATCAGAAGTACCCTTGCCATGGATTTGTGATTTCGCCGGGATTTAAAATATTCGCGATTTAATAAAAAATTTTGAATTTTTTCAACACAAAAGATATGGTATTTTTTACCCGCTAAATATTATCCGATGACCACCCAAATTGGTAGGCTTCTTCCCCGCCCTAAACTCTAGCTACATGCGAAATTCCGCGTCGATTGGTCTATAATTGCGACCTGTATAGCTACTGCAAAATCCGATATTTTTTCCATTTCAACCCCTAAACATTTGGCGATCATCTCCAAAAGAAATAGGCTTCTATTCTGACCCTAACCCCACCTTCGTGCAAAATTTCGTAAGGATCGGGCCATAATTGCGATGGACAGACGGACGGACGGACATACATAGCTAGATCGACTAAGCTGGGCGAGCTAGGAAGATCCATATATACGTTCCTATATGGGAAACCAATATTTCGAGGTGTTACATAATTTTTGGGCCAATCAAACTTATAATACCCCCAACACATAGTGTTGTAGGGTATAAAAATACTAAAGTGTCGATCACCTCAAGTAAGCTTTTGGCCGGGATTGGGCTAAAATACCGCAGAGCAACATTCGAGTAGCGTGTGACGGTTTTATTGGCCGTTTGAAGGCCATAGATTGTGCCAAAGGTGACCAATTCTAACAAATCCAAACTTTTTCTAAAATTTGATGCTAGTTCTGAAATTTTTTGCTTTCATTCAATAAAATTAAAATGAACCGATTTCAATATAATTTGTCAAATGTATGTTCGTTTTAAATTCCGTTACACATTCCAAATGTCATTTAATTTACGTCGTGTTTAATGCCTCTAGTAGTAATTTATATAGCCTATGTTGCTTTCAGGCGATGTTGTAGTATACTTGGAAATCTTCAGAAAATCGGTTCAACGGTTTTCGAGTGCATTAATTACAAACAAACATTTTCCTCTTTTATAGATATAGATATTCAATTCTATACCGTTTTCTGAACACTGTTTAGGCACACAAACACTAACATAACCTAGGGCCATAATAGTTACAGCACTACCACCTTAACCACTGCCTACAACTATTTAACAACTTGGGGAACAACCTGCAAGCGTTTTGTGCATCCACGTTTCTTTTTTGTATTTCATCTTTTTTACAGGCTGGCCTTCTATTTCATTTAGCATGTTATTTATGAAATAAGCCTTAGAAGTCTTGAAAATCATTATACACAACCCTATCAAAGGATATCAAGAATAATGGCGGAGGAGCAGCAACATTGTGCCATAAAACAAGCCAAGCAAACAAACAAACATTAGAGTTACGTACCTTTTTTTATTAATTTACATTGCGGTGGTTGTTGTCTGGTATCCTCGGCAGATACTCTGCACTTGACTTGCTCCAATGACTGGATCTTTGTGGCCCGCTGGCTGAGGATGATGATGTGATATTGCACTCGTGAACGCCTCCTTCTCCTTTCGGCCTCGTTCGTTGTTCGTTCACATGTATTTATTTAACGCAACGCAATATGCAAGTCGAATAAAAGATACATTAGGGACTGTTTGTTTCATTTATTCTTTTTGCCTTAGCTTAGCTTGCTTTGAGTGTTTATGTAGAAGTTTTTTTTTTGTTTGCTTGTTTGTTTATGTTTGTGTTTTGGTTTGGGGTTTTTTTTATATATTCACCAGAACGACGACAACAACGACAAAATCTTTGTCATTATCCACGAGAATGTAAGTCGCTTGTGCTCTGTGCTCGTCGTTAAAATAAAAACATTTTTAATTAATATTTTACTAAGTGAATGCCACAACATATGTCATGCCGCGGTAAGTGTGGCAAGTACCGTTGCATACTTTGCTTGTTTTTTTTTATTTTTTGTTATAAACTTTGATCTGAAAATATGTATACGTAGCCGCTCATCGTGGTGACAAGTGACTGAGTGTTTACCACCTGCGGATGTTACAAGATGTCACAGTTTTTTAATTAGTTTTTGCTGGGGCGTTCATATGAAACACATACTTTAGTGCGTTTTTACTCGTTGTTGTCGTTTTTTTTCATTCCAATTACGGTTGATTTTCACAGAAGAATGCCTTGGTAACTAGCAACATGTATATAACGAACATATGTTGGTTGTTGGCTAAATATCATATACTGCAGTACATTTTGTTATTTTTTTTAAAAAATATTCAAGTTGGAAAATTTCTTTGGTGTCCCGTAGATATATACCCTTAGTACTTGCCCACATATTTCTGTTTACCATTTTTGGGGGACATACCAAAAAGACCAAAAGAACTTCAACATACATTTTTAAATTAAATTGTGACCCTCTGTGGATACGTACCAGAAAGAGTACACCACATTATTGTCGGCATCTAATGCTGCCTATTTGTCATATGCGAAGTTTGAAGAAGATAGGAAACTGATTTTTATACCCTACAACACTATGTGTTGGGGGTATTATAAGTTTGATTGGGCCAAAAATTATGTAACACCTCCAAATATTGGTTTCCCACATTGGAAAGTATATATGGATCTTCCTATCTCGCCGAGCTGAGTCGATCTAGCTATGTACGTCCGTCAGTCTGTCCATGTTAATTTGTAATCACTCTACAGGTCGCAATTATGGCCCGATCTTCACGAAATTTAGAATAGAGGTGGGGTCAGAATAGAACAATATTTCTTTTGGAGATGATCGCATAATATTTAGGGGTTGAAATGGACGAAAACCTGAAAAAATCCTGATTTTGCAGTTGCTCTACAGGTCGCAATTATAGACCAATCAAAGCGGATGTTAGCATGGAGCTAGAGCTTAGGGTTGGGCAGAAGCCTTCCAATTTTGATGGTCATCGGGTAATATTTAGTGGGTGAAATAGGCCACAACATTTGTGTTAAATAAAAGTCAAATTTTCCATCAAACCGCGAACATTTTTAATCCCGGCGAAATCACAAATAGACGAACAGGTCAATTCTGACCGTTACGTAGAATCCGATAGTAAATATATCGGTTTTATAAAGCGAAATATATACAATGTGTATATACAAAGGAAGGGGGTGTTAGTTAGAATGCTTATATCTCAAGAATGGCTGGTCCGATTTTGACAAATTGTGTCAATTCATAAAAGTTTTGACATAAAAGTATAAAATCTAAAACAAACACAGAAAAATATGCCAATAAAGATGTTAATATAGATTTTGCAGTATTTTGTGACATATTTTTATTTTTTCATATTTTTTATCGCATGCGATTTTGTCAATTTGACTTATAATATTTTGTAATATTTTTTCACCTTACAACACAGGTTGGGGATATTATATAAGTATTGCAAATATCGTCCGATCCTCACGAAAATTTTCACAAGGGTGGGGTTGGGCTCAGAAGGGCTGGGCATATTGTTTTCAAAGATGTCCGCAATATATTAGGGGGTTGAAATGGACCAACAACTAAAATTTGTCCTGATTTTGCAGCCGTTATAAAGGTCACAAATAAAAACCAAAGGACACGAAATCTCGCATAAAGTTAAAGTTAGAACAGCGGGTACAATGGACCTCTAATTTTGTGTGAAAAATACTAGCATTACTGACAGGCGATATCCGAATTACGCAAACGGCGAATTTCTGGCTTTTTTATGCTGATTTCGTTGACGAATATAGCCAAATATCGTAGACAAACAAATCATATAGATGAGTCTCAATTTGGAGATACAGAGGGGCTTCTTGCTTTTGGAGATGATTGCAAAGTATTTAGGGGTTAAAATTAACCAAAAAGAGAAATGTCTTTCCGATGACCATTGGATTATATTTATCTGTAAAATGGACTACAACAATTAACAGCACGACGGAGTGCATAAATGTTGGGGAAATGTCCATAGTCAAAATCCTAATTTCAAAAAATCCTAATTTCGAAATCTTCCAAATCCATATGGACATAAGGGGGCTTCTTCTAACATATTGTAGTGTCGTAGGGTATAACATAGTCGGCCCCGCACGACTATAGCCTTTTCTTACTTGTTAAAATTGACCTTGGGAGGGAAATACTAGTTACAGTTGACTAAAAATTTCCAAGTTCACATCTGACCCAAATCTAACATAAATGCTACCAAGGACCATGTTTAAACTATATCGAGTACACAATAATAATATGTAACATCTCGAAATATTGGTCTCCGACATGGGAAACTAGCGAGCTGAGTCGATCTGGCTATGAAGGTCCGCCCGTCCGTCTGTCCATGTTAATTTATAATCACACTACAGGTCGCAATTATGGCCCGATCCTTACGAAATTGAAAATGGCGGTGGGGTTAGAGAATAGAAGCCTATTGTTTTTGGACTCGATCGCAAAATATTAAGAGGTTGAAATGGACCAAAAACAGAAAAATTTTCTGATTTTACTATTGCTCTACAGGCCACAATTATAAACCAATCGAGGAAGAATTTTGCATGGTCATCATATTCAGCGGGTAAAATAAAACATAACTTTTATCTTAAAAATACGAAAATTTCCACGAAACCGCGAATGATTGTAATCCCGGCCAAATCACAAATACATTAAAAGCTCCCTTCTGACCAGTACTGGGTGAAATAAAAAAAATACTACAACAAAGTCAAACGCCATAATTTTTACATTTTTTTTACTTTTATTGATGAATGCAAAAAATGTCGGAAATAGCATCAAATTTTAGAATAAGTTTAGATTTGTTCGAATTGGTCACCTTTGGAAGGAATTATGGCCTTCAAATGGCCAATGAAACCGACACGCGCTGCTCGAATGTTGCTCTGCGGTATAATGGCCCATTCCCGACAAAGCGCATGCTTGAGGTGATCGACAATTTGGTATTTTTTAGTGCCAACCTTGCTTTCCAAAATACTCCAGACGCAATAGTCCAACGGATTGGTATCCGAAGACTTTAGTGTCCCTGTAAATGAAGCGAGGTACCTCATTTTGTAACCATTCTTCGGTGGCGCGTTCTGAGTGAAATGGTGCTGAATCCTGTTGGAATGTCCAAGGTCTACGGCCAAAATGTTTGCGTACCCAAGGCTTAATACACCCTCCAAAATACTTTCGCGATAACATTCTGCATTTATTCCAAAACCAAATATAAAGAAGTCACTCTATCACGCTGGAATTCCATCACGAATAATTTTTTTTCTGGAAAATTCTCACCAATAAGCTTTTGGACGCTTGTAAATAATTTAATGAGCTATCACTGGAATAACCCCTTTTGGAGGAGTGGCTAAGAAATGACAGCGGTCTGAAATTGGTTGCAGTTTTTCTCATGTCACCCTCATATAGCAAAATAGGTACAATATATATATGTATATATATATATATATATATATATATATATATATATATATATATATATATATATATATATATATATATATATATATATATATATATATATATATATATATATATATATATATATATATATATATATATATATATATATATATATATATATATATTTTTTTTTTTTTTTTTTTTTTGCCAGAAAAAGGTTAAAATTCAAGAAAATCGCATAAAAATATGGCAATAAAAAAGTAAATGTTTTTTGTTACATATTTTAAATTTTTGTTCTATTTTTATCGATTGTAATTTTTTTGATTTGTACATTTTCCACAGGTTTTTCACTTCCCCCAACAATATGTGTTGAGGGTATTATATACAGGTCGGAACTATTATCCGATACTCACGAAACGAATGCATTTAACCCCCATGCACCCAATTGGTGTATGAATATTTACATTTAGGGGTTCAAATAGGCCAAAAAAATTAATTTTTTACTGATTTTGCAGTCGCTCTACAAGTCACAATTGGAAACCAATCGACACGAAATTTTGCATGAGAAGAGAGTTATGGACAGGGAAAATGTCTTGAATTTTGAGTGACCACTGGATTATATTTACCTGTAAAATGGACCACAAAAATCTAAAGGTAACATCGTTTCAAAAGCGAAATATTCCAAATTCGATTCGATGGTCGGCCCCGCACGACCGTTGCTTTTGCTTACTTGTTATACATGCCGCAGCTTTGGTAGGCAAGGTATTGGAATGAGTGGATCAATATTATTTAAATAAAACAATTACTACTTTAGATTTATATGAGATTTTGATGCTTTAAGTTGTAACCAATTTTTAAGCTTAGTATGGAGGTACTACAAAAAGTGAACCGATTTTCACAATTTCACTGTAATATCCTTCAATACTATAATATATTGGAGAGCCGATTTAATTCAAACCCCTTTTTGGTCGATTTTGTTTTTGAAATATGTGAAGTTTGAAGAAAATCGGAATAAAATTTCACTTTTAAGGAAAGTTATTAAAAATTGAACTTCTAGGGAAATATGTCCAAGTTTTAAGTATATCGAGCCCTTCATGCAGTCCTTGGTGTTGGTGGCAATGGCATTATATTTACGCCCTATGTATGGCTACCTGTTAAATGTTATCCAATGGCCAACCAAAATGCTAGTCTTTTGCCCTGTCCAAAATTTTAACCTCAAGCCAAATTCTGTTTGGATTGGTCTTTAATTGCAACCGGTAGAGTGGCTCAAAATCTGAAATATTTTCTGTTTTGGTCCATTTTCAATCCCTTAATATTTTGCGAACATCTTCAAAAACAATAGGCTTCTATTCTGGCCCTAAACCAACCTCTATGCTAACTCGAAGTATTCCATTTTCTTACTTCATCTCATGCAGATAAAAAAATAGGCATGAGCAAAACTACATTCCATATTAATCTCAGGTTTTTTGGTTGAGAGAAATATTTATATAAAACCAGTTGTAAAGAATCGCTAACTTGTTTCGCAAGTTATGACAGACAAAATTATTGAAAATTGTGACGCGGTGAGGTACCAGAAGCGGTCTCAGAAATATACCATCTTCACAACAGATCTTGTATTAGGAAAGATATTTGTATGTGTGAAATTTGAAAAGAAGAAATGGTCCGATCTCTACCATCTTTATAACAGATCTTGTGAAAATATTGAGATATGCCAAGTCTGAATGGAATCGGATGTTAGTTTCCAGTTTATGAGCGTCATGGATACTCAAAATGTTGACCCTTTGTGGGGGAGATACCAGAAGGAGCGGACCTATATATCCCAATTTCACAGCAGACCTCGGA